AGCTCATAAACTACAGGGACGTTGTTTTCACGTCCTGAGCAGAAAACCACACCGGACACACTGCACGTTATCTCCTCGTCAGTCACATACACTGTTGTACACTGTTGACTTATTATTGTTATTTAGAATAAATGCAATGACTGACTTCTCTGCCCGTGTGAGCCTTTCCAACACAGTGTTCTCCTCAACTCTCATCATAACACAACACAACGCTCACTGACAGACACGTCATCAGTACAGACACATCCACACACGTGCTGCGGTGAACAAACAGCAGGAGGAAGAAAAAGAGAAAACAAGAGAGAAGAATGGAGAGAGTCTGGTGCAGTACTGTTACTGTTACTGTTACTGTTACATACACTGAACTGCACCTGCTGTCTCTACAGCGTCACACTACCACAGCAGCACTGACAAGCTGAGAAACTAGATTTTCTTCACCCAGAGGCAAAAGTTTGACTCTCAAAGTGATGATGATGATGTTGACAGTGTTAACATCAGTATGGAATAAATCACTGCACGAGCGCAAAACAGACGACTGACCACAGTCAACACACAGATACAGAATGATTTGAAAGCTGCATGGCGAGTGGACGGAGGGGAACGATGTGAGGATGCAGGTGGAGGCGGTGTTGGAGTGTTGTACTCACAGCTCAGAATAGAGGATGTGCAGGTTGCCCAAATTGTCTGTGTAGTTGGCTGGGCTGAGCCAGGGCAGGACCAGCAGCAACAGAGCCTTCATGGTCCGCTCTCAGTCTGATCTTTTCTTTTTCTTTTTCTTTTTCCTTTTCCCTAATCCTTCTCTTCTTCCCTCTCTTTATCTCCTCTTTGCACTCAAGCTTCTCTTCTATGCCCCCCACCTCCCCTTCCTCCTCCTCCTCCACCTCCAATTCTCCCAACCTGGCCGTGCTGACCACCCTCCTCGCCCGCCTTTCTTCTCCAGAGGCGCTCTCAGATCGGAATTGCTTTCCAGCTTCCTACCTTTTCACCCTCTTCCCTCTCCCTCTCTCTCTACCTCAGTGAGTTCCTTCCCGTGCCTCAGGCGGGCTGTCTGGTCATCTCAACTGCAGAGGCAAGTGGGCCAGTCGCCAGGGGTTGAAGACAAAGTGCAGGAGAAGGAAGCAGCAGAAGCAGGTGCAGAAGAGAAGTCCTGTTGTTGCACAGAGAGGACAGTAAAGAGTGCAGGCAGAGGAGGAAGGAGAGCCTTGAAAAGGTGGTACATTTGGTAAACAATTTGTGATGTGCAGCCTCTTAATCTGCTCTGGGCACTGGCGAGTTGTAAGAGGATTTACGCTGATATGCGTGTGTGTGGATGTCTGTTTTCCTTGGGATGTGCGTGTGTGTGCCTGTGTGTGTGCATGGATGTGTATGTCCGAGAGAACGGTGCAGGCTGTGACTTATACTGCAGCAGAAACCACTGAGGTGGCTGGGGGAGGGGGGTGGAGCAGACCAAACCAAGACGAGGGGGGAGGTACCTGGTGCTGCTCTGATTGGTTCTGTCTTCGTCATACTGCTGCACATACACATGGGCTCAGGCAAACACACACACACACACACACACACACACATACACGCACGTCCAACCTCTGCATTCACCTCCCACTGCCCAGCCATATGCTGGCCCCTGAAGGAGAGTGTGAGGAGGAGGGAGAAAATATGTTGTCTCCAAACTCTCACCCCTCCTCCCCATCACGATGGATGATCCCCTGTGCTGCAGATTGGTCTGATTACTCAAGAATCTGCCTACATGTGTAGGAAAAACAGCCTGACCAAAACAAACCAAAAAATCAATTTCCTCTTCAGCGAAAACAGGCTTGTGAGAAAAGGTTAATAAAAAAAAAACAAAACAAGAAAAACACGGTTATTTTCTTGTGGAAATCATTTCTGAACCACCGTCCAAATGATTTTTGTACTGTTGTATTTAATGTTAAATAGTGAAACACAGTGTTTTTTTGTTGGTGAGAGACTTTACCCTGAAGTCATGCTTTGATTCTGAAAGTGTTTGCAGTGAGTTTGCCTGCGGTTACTGCCTTTTGTCTACACTGCTTTAAATCCTGTCCATTTCTTAGTGGATGGAAAGCTGGATGTTAAACACTGTTAAAAATAAAGAAAATAAAGAAAATAAAACACCAGGTTGTCCAGGTTGTTATTTGTTGCTTTTGATTTGATTTAAACCCAATTCCCAGATTTGTTCAACTTTTGGTGACTGTTTAATCTAATTGTAATGTGTTCTTATTGGTACTTGTTTTCCTCTTCTCACTTCTTCTGTTGTCTGTCTGAATTCCGTTGCACCGAACTGTCGGCTGCCCTTGAGAGAGACTTTTAGCTGGTGTAAATACTTTGTTTCTATGAATATTTCATGGATTGGGATTGTGTGGTTGTAGGCTGATTGTGTGTGTGTGTGCCCGTGTGTATTTGCGTGTACCAATGCCTGCACGCATGCATACTAAAGAATCAGGTGTCCTGTGGTATTTAAACAGTGTGCTCGGCGACAGGACCACGGGGCACGGAGGAAATGGAAATGTAATTGGATTGTGACAGGATGCAGTTTGTGAACAGAAGCTGGTTTCGCCTCACAGGAGTCATTTCATACACTGGTGCATTAACACACTGACAAAAATGTCTTCATCGCATGCAGTGCGCTCACGTACGCCACGTTCCACTTCAGTGGAAGAGGTTTAAATACAGCTTGATAATTGGAAAAAAATCGGGGAAATTGCCGGAAAGGTCAAAGTCTGAGTGCTGATGAGAGGAGATCAGTTTTTACTACAACTAAAAGAAAAGATGGGGGAAAAAAACACAGCTTTAAAGGTGGTTTGCCTGTCAACAGAAACATTACTGTATAATGTGAAGCCAGTTTCCTCTGGTCAAAATGATTAGTGACCTCTGTGGCCTCAAACCTAATGAGAAGTGGTCATTATATAGCTCAAAATTATTAGAATTAACTGAGATTTTTAAAAGAAGTTTGGGCAATTAAGAGAAATATAAAAAAGTTAAAAACTATAATTGTTTTTGTAAAGTTGAAGTATTGATTTCAGTAATGTAATGCCTTACATGTGGAGGCTGCAGTGGTTTTATTCACAGAATTGCAATATTTCATTTTAAGTGCTAACATGTACCGTGTGAAAACAACAAAACATTTAAACATGCCCCAGAGAGTCTTTTATTTTGAAATACCATCATATATTTTGAAGGATTTTCTTCTATTCTTAAATGTAGACATTTTTGCCAAGACAACCAAAAGCTGTTACAACAGGTACGTGGGATGAACCAGGATGTTTAAGGAAAACAACTGACTTCATTGATGAATATGTGAAAACATTAAGGAGTCAAAGAAGCTTCTGGTGAATACATACTAATAATGGAACAGTTGAGGTTGTCTTCCTGATTGCAGCACACATGTTCAGAATAACAACTCCTTCACTCAGAGAGCCATAAAGGTCATGAGTCATTGGACGAGTGTCAAATTAGCTGTGCCCAGATGGTTGGCTGTCTCAGCACTGACGACTCCTGAGCCAGCGCCAGACTCTGGGCCCAAAATGTTACAGCACGATTAGACAAGAACTGTGTCGCATGTAGATGTCTAGCAATTTATGGCTGTGTTTCTTCACGATGACATTTGTTTTTGCAGTGTTCTGGCACAGCTGGGTCTTTACATCGTCAGATGTTCAACACAGGAAATCACACTGTCGACATACAAACAAACTATATTTTCAGGAACTGATAATTCGCCAATGCACTTGGAGTTTTGGATTAATTATATTTGTCAAACATACTATTAAAATATACTACAACTTCAGGACAGAATCTACGTAAATATGGCCTTGGTTGAAGTTCAAAATAATACTAAAAGTCTATGGGTAAACCAAATGCTAACTGGAATTTCAGCAACCTCAACATTAAATCAGACAACTATATAAACAGAGCCAAATACTGAAAAGTGCAGCTTTAGTCAGACTTTATCAAATCCCTGAAGACATTGTGAAGAGCCTTTCCCTTAACATAACCTTTGACCTCCACAGATAACTCTTTTCAACTGTGAAGCAGCGGCTGAACTCTCCTGGGTTCTGGCCTCAGAGCTCAGCACCTCATTACACCATTCACACTACATGAAGATGGAGAACACTCTGGAATGGAAGGAGTCAGAAAGATGAAGCAGTGTGTGTGTGTGTGTGTGTGTGTGTAGGTGGTGAAGAGAGTGAGAGAACAGGCAGACAACAAGTTCTTCCTTGTACATCCTGAGTTTCTGTTAGTTGCTAATAATGCAGAAACCCTCTGCTGCCTGTGTGTAATGTGTAGCGTGGGACACTAATTACCCCAGTGGCCCGTGGGCAGAGGGAGTGTTAATGAGTAATTATGAAAACGAACCCTCAATGTATGAAAAAACAGAACACCGACTTCAATATGTGAGTAAACAGTCAGATTGGGCCCAGTCCTGATGCACGGTCAGACTGAAGGTGTGTGAATGATGATGATCAGCAGAGAGCTAGCAGAGTGCTAACGAGCTAGCAGAGTGCTAACGAGCCACCTCCAGGTCACCACCTCCAGGTCATTGTTTTCCCAGATGTTTAAGGTAAATAGCAAAATGCTCAGTATTTTTTAAGTGTAGCACAAGTTGTTGTTTGCTTAGTTGAAAAGACAATGATCAAGGAATTCTAAGTTCCATTAACCCAGTACTTCTCAAATAGTGGGGCGGCACGGTGGGGGGCGGGGCGTCTATAGGAATATGGCACACTGGACATTAGTGTACCACTGCTGTAATGCTTGAATGATAACAAGCCTCCAGTCACTAGGTGGCAGCAACTCATACAGTGGTTCGTACAGATAAAAATATACTATCATGTTATCAGGTTCTCAATAGTATTTCAATTCGCGGGTGTATGTGTTGTGTTGTGTGTTGGGGGGCGTGGAAACATTTCTGTCCCCATGGCATGACAAAATAAAAATAACTGAGAACCACTGCATTAACCAGACGTGTATAGGGTTTCGTTTTACTGTCCTACCTGCCCTTGATGTGGTCCTGCAGATCACCACGTGCCACGATCTCGTCACAGTGGTCAGTGAACGGACACGCCACACTGAGTTTGTCCAGTAGTTTGTGAACCAGCAGGCTGGGCTTCCTGCAGCTCTGAAGCATCAGGGGCGCGCGGCATACGGGACAAAAGTCACTCTCCAGCAGGAAACTGGTGAGACACTCCTGGCAGTACGTATGTCCACAGGGCGTGTCCAGGGGCTTGATGAGCGGCTGCAGGCAAATGTGACAGACCAGGTCGTCGTCCACCTCATCCTTGTAGAGGTACTCGTGATTCTCCTCCAGCTGGTGACTGTGGCCGCACGCCTCGCACAGGTCAGGAGGTGGGGTCATGAGGTCATAGTCGGAGGGGGACAGAGGTGGTGCAGATGCCTCGGCCATCGCAACGGCACCTTTGTTGAATTACTGCTCGTTCCTTCTAAGTACTCATAAGGTGGTTGAATGTCTGGTAGGATCCGTCAAGTATCTATCCTGACGGAACTGTGGGAGAAAAATAAATGAAGTAAGAAACTCAGTGATTGGACAAGTGCTTAAAAACACAGGACAAATGTCCCTGCCTGTGATACATACCATGATCTCACAGGTGCAGCAGACGACTTCCTGTTTGGTCTGGCCACTGTTTAAAATGAACAACAGTTAATCAGAGGTCAGTGAAAACATTTCCCAGGATTCATGTCATGTCTTTAAACCGTCCTCCGTCCTTCTTGTAATAATATCTAGTAGATACCAGGTGCACTTTCTCTTTCTGAACTGAAGTCGTTCCTATAACTCACCACTGGAGTGTCAGTGCATAAACCTTTAAAAACAGTTGCTATAATCACTACAAACATCATTAATGTAGAATGAAATGAAGACAATTTGAATAATAAAGGTTGTTCTTCATAAATGCTTGGCATTTCGAGATTCTATAGCATTTCTTCAGAGGCAAAGCAAATGATTTAAATTTCAATATTTCCTTTATTTGTTGCACAAAAATACTGAACAAAATGTCTAAAATCAAGAGTCGTTTGGTTCCTAAAAACATTCCTCCTGTCCATGCAGGGAACTCAATCCCACTTGACAGCAGATGGAGATATTGAAGCGTGCAGATACAACGCATCGCTGCCTGTTCAATTGGAAATATAACACGGTTTCAACATGCAAACATTTTTATGGCGTCTACGTCGGCCGCTTCGTGCGAACCAGTGTGAGCATGCCAATGTTCACGTCATCCCCAGAACAGACAGGTTCCTGCAGCACATGCACATGAACAGATGGGCCCGGTCAGACATGTCATCTTGGCAATAGTCTTTCTGTTGGCTCTGGAGGAGCTTCATTTCTGAACACTGTTTGGGTCGATGCTGCTTAATTAGACTGAGATCACGTGATCATGTTCAAGAATGTGAAGGGAAAAAAAACCTTAATGAGGTTTAAATCCAAGCAGTGGATAAGTGGATACTTCACCTTGCTCTAAATCAGGTGTGTCAAACATACGGTCCGGGGGCCAAAATCGGCCCGCTTGGCAGTTCAGTCCAGCCCACTTATAAAAAAATACACTTCATGTTTGGGATATTTGTTGAAAAGTTATACTTCATTAATTATGAATAAATAATACATACATATCTAATATACTTGTATGTGTTGAAAACATGAAAACAAAGGGGAAAAACATGGACTTGTTATTTATAGTTAATTATTATTATTATTATGATTACGCTGGTAATGATTGTACTGGTCCGGCCCACTTGTCAGCTAATTAGGTTGCATGTGGTCTGTGAACCAAAATGAGTTTGACACCCCTGCTCTAAATCAACCACAGACTGTAATCCAGCCCTGCTTAGGTGGAAGTGTCCACAGGATAACCACGGCTCTGGGTCGGTGTGGTGCAGGTTGCACGGCAGGTTGTGGTGGCCGTAAAGGCTTACTTTATTTGGCGTGTCTTGACGGGGGAGGCTAATACCAGAGGCTGAAGAGTCTTAACAAAGATGAACTTTCCCACTGTTGTATCATAACTGAGTCATCTCACTCTCTGGCACCTGCTGCGCCAGAGCTCTGATGTGATCCAGGAGCAGAGCTCATCAGGGTACAGGGAATACTTCTAGATTTTGGAATTACAACTTGGGTCACATGGTGACTGATGTTGTTAAAATATTTGACTTAACAGGAGGAAGATCACTGTCGCACTGGTTCCATTTTTGCTGAGTGGAGATCGATGTACGCCCCGTGTGCACGTAGGTTTTCGCCGGGCACTCTTATTTGACCATAGGTGTGACTGTGAGCGTGAACCAGGGTGGTCCTCGCCCTCACTGATTAACAGGTGGGACTTGATCCCCTCCCCTTGCAACTTAATGTCACCAATTAGTGAAAGTTCATTTTTTTTCTAACATTTAAGAAACCTTTGAATAAAAATGCTAACTTTCTGGATCATTAGTATTGCCCTTTAAATCGCTAACTCAGTAGAATCGAACGCTAGGAAAAGGATCAACACAACAGAAATACAGCTTCCTGCATGCTGAGACATGCGATTGAAAACTCACTTCACACAGACACACACACTCACACACCCATGCCCAGGGAACATCATTCCTTATTTCTTAGCCCAACAGTTTTATTGCAAATTGCCCTCGAAACAAGTGAGAAATGAACGACACATTTAAGTACAGATGACTTTAAAGTAACACAGTGTGAGTTCTATTTTTACAAACCACGTATTCTAAATTATTTTAAGGTAATCTGGCCCCAAACCTTTAACTGTTCATTTCATCACTGAAGAGTACACGTCTGAGGCCGCCATGTTGGATTACCTTGTTATTACATCAGCCAACAGCAGACAAACTCACTACCTTTGTATTTTATTAATAATTAAAAGCTACAATCCTGAACAGAAATGGAGGGAAACATATTTTAAACCAAATGTTACTTTCTCCCCTTTCTTAACTGTGGCTGTAGTATATGCACGTTGTACTTGGTGGTAAAAAGAAAGAAAGCAGCGTTTGTTCTATAAACAAACGCTTTCCTTGTCTTTGAACCAAAGTCATGTCCTGTCCTGTCCTCATCGGATTTCCTTTCCTTGTCAGTGATGTCTGTGTAAGGCCTGGACCTCCTCTTTAGACACTGCAGATGTTATGAAAATACTAAATCATATCTAGGCTACCCTCTACTGATTTGAGATGATTTGGGCGACTAAACGATGCAGTTGGTATCAGAGGCTTGTATTGTTTTTATTTATTTTCTCTAGAATAGTGTCGGCGTCAGCACTAACCCTGTCCATATGGAGCTGGTGTGAGTCTGCGCACCGCCAACGTGCACTCCTTGGTGTGAAGTTTATTAAGAGAATCAATCAAAGTAACACGCCCTCAAGAGTCAAAGCCACAGTTGAGTTTGTGTACGGAAAACACTGGACGACATGTGATGCCAGGCTCTGCAGCCGAAGTATTTTGTTAATCATTAAATTTTCTCTTTTATCTGCTGCAGAACGGCGATACGAATCTTAGAAATCACAGACAAAATCTGCTGAATATTGATCTTCCAGCAGGTGTGGTATCACAGAGATTACAACACGAGGGACCAACTTCCTTGTAACTCACATCCAAAACGTAGTAGTATACACTTACACCACACTAACACCACAGAGTGGACACAAATGGGCACCTTCAGTACCAGTGTCCACAGATCACTAACAGACATGAGTTCAAAGGCTGTTTGCTGAAGTCTGAAACACAGAATCCAACGTCGTCTGTTCTGTTCAGACATGTACAAAATTCCAATAAGCATTTTTTTTCTTTCTGTGTAGATAAATATCTGGCAACCGGGTGATGCTCTGAATCGTCATCTTTCTGTCTTTCTAGACAGTCACTGCTAAAATACAAATTTTATATTTATTAACAGAATTTTCAGATATTCAGTAGTATACTTATATTTTTATAACTCATAAAGATACTTGTATACAGTGTGTGTATACAGGTGTATGTGTCATATAGTGTTTTTCGGTGTTTGTTTCTGTCACACACTTTAAGGTGTAGAGTGATAGTAAAAATACACTTACGTACAGAGAG